CTCCGGGCCCGGCCCGGATCACGGACCCTGCTCCGGGAACGGGAGAGCTCCGGGCCCGGCCCGGATCACGGACCCTGCTCCGGGAACGGGAGAGCTCCGGGCAGGAGCGGCGCAGCCAGCGGACACCGCGGGGCGGGAGCTGCCGGCCTGAGCGCGGCTGGAACCGCACATGGCACACGATCTGCACTGACCAGAAATTCAGGCTGTGGAACAGAGCTGCAGGCTCCTCACTCCTGGCTCAGCCGCCTGTCCTGTTAAGGGCACTCCCGCCCACAGCGATTTTCCAGGAAGGAGATCCCTTTGCTTTGAGCATAAAGACAAAACCTAAGTAAATGACATGAAAAATTAACCCATATTTGTGCCCAGTATTGTTACTGCTGTTAAAAAGGCCGTTCGTATTTTCATTCCTACAGTATTTAAAGATGTCACAAACAGGCACATGACAGAGTTTGAGTAGCAGAGGGACACCACAGCACCCAACTGTGGTTGAGCTGACCTTCAAGCACCAGTTAAACATTAAAGACACTTTTCTCACCGCCAAAATTCACAAATAAATAGTCTATCTTGAAACCAAATAACTTAATTTTCACAGAGAAATTCTCATCAAACTTTTTATAAAGTACAATTGGGAATGAACTGCCCATGCTTCAACCCTGGCATAGACAGCTGAGCTCTGAACTGGCTCTCCTACCCAGCCAAACCCACAAAGCAGGGCTGCAAGTGGTGCAGGTTGAGAAGCCTATTTACCATTAACATTTTTAAATTACTATTTTCATGTGTGTAACTTGGAAGATTTCTTTTTTGTTTGTTTGTTTGTTTGAGTGTAGAAAGATATATCATGGAACCCAAGGTCATTATAAGCATCTCCATTTCTTGAAGGGTTCTGATCGGCTCTTGCCACCAATGCTAAGGTGAGGATTATGAAGTAGGGTGGAACATCCATCTCCCTCCTTCCCACAGGAGCAGGAAAGGTGTCTGGACAGGCTAGGGGAACAGCCAAGAGGTCTGCAGAGCTCTCTGGCATGAGCAGCCTTGGTTGTGCTGTGTGAAATTCTCTTTTACTGACCCACGTGTTCTCCACGCTCCACTCCCACGTGAAAATCCCCCCCAAAATCCTCATTCTGGCCTCACTGTATCACTAAAGGCCCTGACTTACCATTGCACTGAGGTAGCCCAGACTTCTATAGACTTCTACTCAGTCTCCACCCTGAGAATGACAGACAAGAAAACAATCACAAGTCCCTGCCTACAAATGTACCCACTCTTTCAAAACCAATGTCTGCTCCTTTAAACTTTCTTTTTCATTAACATATTGGTTAATACTGGTATTTAAAAAATATCACAACTATAGTCTCAATTTCAGTGGTGCAAAATTTATCTTATAGATCTGCTTTTAAAGGCAAGGGAAAAAAAATGACTGCCTAGGTTTGGGATGATGCCTTTCTGGGAATTGTCTCACAGCCAGTCTGTTCTTCACAGCAAAGCACTGCCGGTCTCCCCACAGGAATATCCAGCCAGTTGTGAGGTTGCCAAGTGTGTTTGAAAAATAACAAGTTACCCCAAAGGAGATACAAAAATAAAACACACAAATATACACAGAATCGTAATTTTAGTACAAGCACACAGAAGCTGAGCCCAGAAGACGTCTCTCCCCCAGATAAGGGCAGGCCTTGCAGCATTTCCCCACTAAATTCAGCTGCAACACTGGGATTATGCTGCCCCTGGGTTGACCCTTTGCTCATTCTCAGGAGTCAAGTCTGTCACACCAGAAAATAAAGAAATAAAGATCGCAGCTCTATTTATAATTTATACTGAGGGACTAATCTGCAATATGAAATTGTATGATGGTTTTGCAGTAAATATGATGTAGCAAGTTGCCTTCTAAATATAGACAAAAGTTTAAGTTTCATCTCATCATAATCAAGGAATATTAGAAACATGCATGGCAGTGAAGATTTTATAACTAAAATAATCAAATTCTCAAGAAACCTGGAAAGATAATGGTGAGATGTAGTCATGTAATAGTAATAATAATAAAATAATAATAGAATAATAAAATATAAAGTAACTGCTGTGCAAAGCTATTTTTGACTTCTGCTGCCAATTAAATCCCAAGAATTCCTGCTCAAGGTGCTACACATCAGATTGCCTGTGCTGTGTGGAGGAGTCCCTTCCAAGGTGCCCCAGCTCCAGTCGAAAGGGACATGGGCAGTCACACCACAGCAGCAAAGCTCTCCAGAGCCACGGCAGGCAGGGCAGCTCAGAAGGGCCTGGAGTGCTTTAGAATGGCTGCACACACGGGCAACTGAGCACTTCTCGGACACAATCAAAGGGAATTTATTGAAGATTTGCATTTTGTGGGCCAGACCAGACCCCTGATGCTCCTCTGCCCCTCAGATGAGAGGTACTCTACATTTTAAAAGCTGTAGATTCCATGTCTCTTCTTGGAAGCTTCAGTGGTGGAAGTTTTGACAAAACCTCTCTTGCATAAAGTGTTTTATGCAGTCCAGCTTCTCGGAGAGCGAGCTCGACACGGAGCCTGGGGTCAGAAATGACCTGTTAAAAAAACCACAGCAATGATCAGTAGAAGCCAAAAGCTCCCTGAGGAGCTGCTGCCTTCCCTCATGCTCTCCATGCACACAGCCCCAAGTGCAGCACAGTCTCCAGTCTCCTCCCTGATGTTCCTACAGAATCCAAGAGCTTCAAATGCCTTTATGATTTTTCTCACAGTGTCACCTTGTGCTTACATGGCAGTGCCACTTCCATTTGTCAGACTGACAATTAATCCCATGGAAATTACTTCTTAAATTTGTCAGAAGTTTTTCAGGCAAAATTTGTAAGCCTCTTTCCAATCCCCGTTCCATGGTCCGCAGTGGGGCCGCACTGGAAGCACAAGGAGGAGGGACACATTGCTTCCAGTTCCAGCACCACCTCCCCAGTGCCCAGAGCTGCTGGAGACCAGCACTGGGAACATGATCCACAGGCCCTGCAGCAGCGGGAAGGAGCACAGGGATGTGCTGGGCAGGGGTCACATACTGCAGCCTGAGCAGCACCAAACCTGTCTGGAGCTGAAACAGAAAGAGTGTGCTGAGAATTAAGGCATAGGACCCAAATTTTAAGTTTTGTCAGAATCCCGTACATTGATCAGATTTGGGGAATTTTAATAACCAAACAAAACTCACATCTTTCCATTATCAAACTGAGAAGCTTTAAAATGTCCTAAAATGGGAAGAGATGGACAACTTTAGCTATTGACTTTGTTAAATTTCATCTTATTCAGTGTCAAAAGAAAGCTTTTACACCACAGATTTGTACCATAGCTCTTCTCTTCTTGTAAATAACTTTCAAATTCCAGAGTGGGAATAATTGCAAATGCATTGACTGAGCAGATAGGGAACAGTGAGGGAATCAAAAGATATCAGGATGTTCCTTGAGTGCATTTGAAATTGAGGGAGCAGCCTCCTCAGCAGCCCGAATAGGGTTAGCTCAGTTCCTGCTCCATTTCCCCAGCAGGATTCCAGCCCATTACCTGCTCTTCACTGTACGTGTGCAGCCTGAACAGGGGCTGCTGCAGCTCAAACTCCTCCTTGCTTCCAATGCCCATGCGAGCTTTTGATGCCACCGTGTCAGCCACTGCTCTGGCTGGATCTAATTTTGCAACGATGGCAACCTAAAGACACAGGAGGAAGGTAAGGATTACTGTGTCCCTGCAGAGCTAAGGCCAGAGCAGTGGTCAGCACTAACACACCCTTTGAGAACAGGATTGTCCCAGCTGCAGAGGCTTCCTTCTTTTTATTCCAATGGAAACAAAGTTGTTCAGGGTGATAGTTCACAATTTTTACAGAGTTGTGTGCAACAGCATTGAGTGATATGCCCCAAATAATAGAACTCTGGGTTTCTTTTTGAAGTGCATCTGCTTTAACTGTGTAATTTCCTGTGGCTAGATCAATATCAAAGACTCCCAGACACTGTATTATGACAGAGTTAATCTTTTTCATTTTTTACTTTCTTTGTGTTAAAATATTCAGATACAGGCTAATACTACTTTGGAAAAATCCAGAAAGATGTATGAGAAAAACAGCTAAAGTCAGAAGCCCAATGGCTAAGATCAGAAAAAAATTACTTTAAATTGTGTGCAATAATTTTTTTACCCATCCCTTTAATAAAATGTCATCTTTGTATTTACAGGCTGCCCAAATCCACATGCCAAATGACTCCAGTAAAGATCTTCTTCCCCTTCCCCCCCACCCATAAAAAGAATGTACATACTTTATGAAGCAGCATTTCACTAGTATGAAACAGAGAATAAATGTTGGTCAGAGAAGTAGAATGAAGTGCGAGCATCACCATCCTAGGCCAAGGCCCTTTAGAAGCATTTTCTACTCTGGCAAGAGAACTGAATCAGTGGGAAGAGCTCAACAGACCACAACTACCAACCAGCTTCTTTGGAGGAAAAAACAAGGAGATCACATACAGAAATGTAAATTAAGGCAAAATTACTCTTTCAAAAGTCATCAGTAGAAAAAAATAACCCTAGCACTACTTTTACCATGATATTAGTAAGCATTAGTAAGCATTTTATGGGTGTCTGTCTAAAAGTAATGTGCAAAAGACACATGTTCAGAGACTCAAATATCTCTGAAGTCATCCAAGGTGTGCAAGTTTTCAGA